CGAGTTACAAGGGGGGGTGTTCAAACACCCCCCCCCCAGCAGGGCGTGGAAATCCAGGACCCCCAGCAGGGCGCGGGTTAAACAAAACTATACCGTGACAGCACAGGTGATAGAGGCAGAGAAACTTCGTTTTATTGACATAACTTGTTTAAATTGACTCTATGTTTCGACGAAATACGATTGTTGCGACTCGATCTAAAAGGCTCTGTTCCAAAGTTATCCTATTATTCGGTTAGGTAATGATGCCATCGGGCTGGTGTTTACGATCGTGTTTAGCATGCTAGGCACGACTAAATTTTATTACTACAAAGCTATAGCCCGTTAAACAGTCATAAATAAACTACACTGGTTCCCAAAATTCAACGACTGAATGGACACGAAAATTTACACAAACAATATTTTAATGACCTTCTTCATATATCGGCTCTTCCTTTGAATTTTGTGCCGTTTGTTCAGTTACTACCTATTGTCTGCGTCTTTTTCTGCAACGGGACTCCCACACCGATCACATACAAGATCATTAGTTAGCGTTAAGACGATCACTGACAACTTATCATGCAACTCTTGGCTGAGGTCCTTTATCAACTCATCCCCTCACTCCTGGGCTACTGCGCAGTGTGCGCCCGTCATTTCTCGTCCACCCCCTCTCCCAGTCCCCCTCTTTCCGTCCGACCTCCTTTCTGCCAAGGACGACGCCTCGTCAACCCACGAGTTATGGGCCACAGCCCGCTCCCGTAGCCAGCGACCATGGACTGAATGGGAGAAATACGGTCGAGAGGATGGTTGACTCGGCCCAGCCAGGCCCGGCTTGGCTCGACCAGGGAAAGAATGGGGGTGAAATGGTTTTCGCAGAGATGGAGGTCGGCAGTTGAATCAGGGTAGAGAATCGGAGAAAAATAGAGTGAGTGGGGTAGAGTGTGGGAAAGGTTTAGGGCGAGGTTCAGAACTGAGACGAGATATGACAGGGGCGAAAATGATTGGAGTGGTGAGTTATGGCGTTTTGGTAGGCAGCTAAACGCAGGAGAGCGCTGCGTAGTTTGTATGTACGTAGAGGGCAGCATCTGAGGAGTTGACAAAAAGAACCAACTGTTCGAGGTCCACAGAAAAATAGCTGTAACACTGGCCGCAGGAAAAGCGGAGGCTACTAACTATTTCGTGATATCCATGGGCACTGTTACTTACATCACAGCGATGACTAAATAACACTATCCAGAGGATCATCTGGGTCATTTCTGTCATGACTTCCTCCCTCTCTCCATCTGTCGTCAGCCATGATGCGTCACCGTGTGGCCGCCGACGACTCAGCCCTGCCCTCTGTGGAGCTGGCCGCCTGCTTAGCCGGGGCGCCACACCGACGCAGGAACTACCTCCGACTGCTAACAGCGGTCGAGGGCGAGCGAGCCGCCAACGTCAGCACAGGTCAGAGGTCATGTGTGCTAACCAGAGGTCAGGGGGACGATTCGGAGCGGAGTGACTGTTAGGGAAGTAGCGATGAGTGGTATGCAGTCTTGGTGGGTGAAAATACACAACATAACAACACACAGACTTAGCCAATTTATGTACGTTGATGTGCAGTCCAGGCTTAGAGCCCTTTACAAGTACTAATCCCCACTCAGTCAGCGTCTTGTGATTCAAATTTTTAATAAAGCCCGACCTCCAGAAGGAAGCGTTTCGCTATGTAGCACGGATGACGACACATCCATCCAGAATCAGTCCTGACCTCCAGCCCAGTCTGGTGGTCCTCTGAGACCTCTCCATTCACAGAGACGCTGGCTCTGGCCGTGCTAACCCTTCGCTGTATGGAGGCGAGAGGAGGCCGGCGCACGGAACACCACTTAGCGGAAACGACCCGGCGACTGGCGGGGAGACAGCGGGCGGACGGCGGCTTCGGAGACCTGCAGACTACACTGCTGGCCCATCAGGTGACTAAGAGCCTCGAGGGGACATGGGTACCACCCTACTGGCCTATTAGGCGACTCAGGAGGGAAGGAAGGGGGCTTACCTACATACCATTTTTCTGGTCCAACAGTTAAACTGGGAGGGAAGTTGAAGGGAATGATCAGTCACAGCCTTACCGGTTTATTAGTTGACTCTTAGGGAGCGAGGGCCCCGCACGCTTCGCTATTGGCCTACCAGGTCCATGCAACTAAGGAGAGTGGAGGGCGGAGGCTAGGATCCCACTTGTCCACCAGGCTGATAAGGATGCCATAATAACTTATTTTACACCTCCCCCGTCGCCGTCACAGGCGCTGACTGCTGTGACCGCCGCCGGCTGGGACTCTGCTGCCTCTCTGCGGTCCATCCTCTCTCAGAGGGACGAGGACGGCTCACTGGGTGACGTACGACTGACGGCGGCTGCTGTCGGAGTGCTGGGTGGGAAGTCACTGCTGCACGTCACAGACACGCCCTGCCATCGCGGACAGAGGGTCGGAGGTGAGCGAGGCACTGCGGCGGAAACAAGAATTCGAACCGATATTCGGTGTCTCATTTTGAAGTATAGTACAGCGTGGTGTGGACAGTGTGTAGACATTGCCAATTGGCCATGGATTCTAAAATAAGAAGTGACCATCATGAAGAGCGGTAGCTCATCCCAGGTCTTCAGAGGCTTCATATCAGTCAATATTTCTCTAATTGCATGTGTATTGTGTAGGCACTCCAGGCTCTATCCTATTCAAACTGTATCAGTGTGTTTATAGCCTGACCATAAGGCATCCACAGAAGTGCCAGTCTCGCCGATCAATAATCCAGCTGGTAGGTTTCCGCTGTTCAACCAACCCGAGGCTATAGAACTAACCACTCCTGTTTACTGCCGCCTACCACCCTCAGAAACTGCCTCACTGCCATCTGACGGCGGGCGGGCGAACTCCGAGTTACCGCCGCCGCCGCCGCCGCCGATCGAGGTGACCCTGTGGTTGTGGATCGGCTCGGAGCCCGACCTTATCTATCGTCAGCTGGTATCTGTGCAGCAGAACGCCAGTGTGTTCGAGTGTCTGCAGTTGGCCGCGCAGCTCAACAAGCACTTCCAGTGAGTGGGCTGACGGGAGGACGGGAAGTCGGAATGATGTCGCACGAGGGCGTTGAGGTAACTGGGAAGACATTTTACAGATGGATGGAAGGACACAATTTATAAGCAAGAGGGCAGTGGTACCAAGTAATCCTGGTGCCACCTGGGTGGAAGTGTAGCTTCAGGAATATCTTGGCTTCTAGAAGCCCCCTCTCTCTCCAACTAGAAAGCTTCGTCCGCTATATAATTCCCCCCCCCCGTCTCTGACCAACCCACCTCGCTCGCAGATTCTCCTCTGAGCTCTGGCCCAACGGCCACTACATCCACACCATCGACGGATACCGAGAGCGGAAGGAGGGCTACCGTTTCTGGCTGCTCTACACCCTGGACAGTGCTCCCGAGCCGGCCTACAAGCCCACAGAGCGGGAGGTTCACGGAGTAGGTGAGAACAGCTGGTGGAGCTCGCTGGAGTCCGGTCTCGCGAGATGTGACGACTCGATGGTCGGAAGGTATTATCGTGATGTTGGTTTGGTTAGAAATGACTGGAAAGGTATTAAAGAAAGAAGAACATTGTATTAGTATTTTGCAGATAGTATAATGGCCAAATGGGACAAATACATATGAGACGTTGGGGACTAAAACGATGGGGACCTCCAAACACTGGTGGGCGGTGGGCACACCTCAGCTCGCCACTGAGCTGAGAACGACACTGAGCGTTCCCAATCGGCTGCTCCTAACGTTTTACCGTATTTAAATCATTTTGTGTTTTTCAGGTGTGGACCGACTGCAGCCCCCCGATGGAAGTCACGTGCTGTTTTGGTACCGTGAGATGTAACAATGCCTCCGACTGACCAGCGACGACTGTTAGTTGTTACGTCTCACGAGAGCGTCCAAAACTTGTCAATTCGTCCCGCAGACAGACAGTGGCTTTGGCTCGTTTGTTAGTCTCCTGCTGTTAGGCGTGATCCTCAGTATTTGCAATGCATATTTTTGAGCATGTGTATATGAAACCAAAGCAATGCTTCAGTATCGCTTTGATTATGCCATGATGTTGTCGGACGTTCACCCGATTATGCCAAGGTCTTTGGAAGCGTTCTGCCTATGGCTAAGGTTGCTTAGGGAGAGGAATAGGCACGGGGCGCAATATGATGTCAAATAAGTCACCGACTGCTGCCTGCTGGGGGAACGTGCATCGGTTTCGCTTGAGCTTGTTTATCTGCTGATGGTCCTCTCTGGTCACGGCATTGATTGCAAGAGCCTTTATGTCGCTGGAGAATATGTAGGTGTGTCTGAAATTGAGAGGGCTCCGCCTGTTGCCACCTCGCTGGATGCTGGTTGGTAGTCAGTGCGTCACGTTTGGCTTTGCCCCGGTTTTCTCTCAAGATACTCGACTCGATTTGGTGAAAGTTTCGTCCTTTTGCTGGATCCTCTTTCTGGATCCATGGGACTGCGTTCGTCATTATAAGTTGTGCTGCGACCTCACGTGCCGATCTAATTTTGTGCCGCGATCTCATGATTGGATCTCATTCAGCTTGTCAGCCTTCGCAGTACGAGTGTGAACGCATAGCTGTACGCACTGAAGGTTCACAGTGGTGCCTGAAACCTATGCCTGGTGCGTTTTGCAGAGCTGATTGCCTTATAGTGAGCAGTCGGCGCGTCAGTTGTGTTACTGCTACTGTGCTGTGGGGCTTAACGCTGTGTAAAGCTATTGCGTAAGCCAAGCTATTGCGGTGGTAGAAATGGCTTACAACTCTGTCCGTATGCTTTACCTTGTTTGTGGTCACCAATGCTATAAGTACAGGCAATATAGTGACTACAGCGCCAATGTTTGCTTTCACCATTCCGCAAAGACGCGAGCACGGCTTCTCGAAACGACTTCACAATAAACCTGAACTTGCATCACCAGTCACGCGTAACGCACGTTACTCGTCAGCGCGTCACGCGATTTAAATATTAACCAACACAGTAGGCGTCCCGAAACATCAACACGCATACGTCAACCTTGACATGTGATATATTCGTCAAAATACGAGACATGCGTTTACGTTTCGGGCTGATACAATACAGTTTGCATATCACCGGTCTGTGAGGGCGCCTCTTGGTCTGCCCCGCGCGTCCCGTTCTCGGATATTTACAGCACGTCGCTACAGTCAGTAACACCCCATCGCAGCGCCACGGTCCAGACTAGATACGTGTTAGTTGACTCTGCGAATACAGCACCACTTGGGAGCGCAGCGAACGGTTCGGCGCCATCCGGGCTTCTGGGGTGATCAAACGCTCAACAGATGTCGCCGCCGACCACGGGAAGTGGATGAATTGAGCCAACGAACATGAAATCGCATGGCTCATACCGTCCTGACTTGGGGGGGGGGGGGCGGGGGGGGGGGGGGGGGGTAAATAGAGGAGTCCTTGATTCGCAGTGTTTAACGAAACTAAGAGGTCGTCATAAGTCAAATACAGTCTCAGTTGTAATACAGTCAAACAGGTGCGGTTCGTCCGCACGGCACCCCGCGAAGGTATTGCACAGCGCTCGACCGGCGCGAACTGTAGGCTGGGGTGGCCAACAGCCACCGATGACCCTGATCGATCTCCACACCACCCTCAGGAGCCCACGATCAGCGGCGACCGAACATCCGCCGCGGCCCTCCTTGGTCAGACTCTCCTGGCTCAAAACCGTTCTACGTAGCTCTTACAACCCATCGTCACGCCTTCATGAGCGCTATCGGTCGCCCTGCCCTACCAACACACCACTGCATTAACTAGTTACTCCGACCCGCGGACTCTCAGCCGCCTACCCGGGGCGCTCAGTGGCGTCTCTGTGGCCTTCGCTGCGCTCGCTGGCCGGCCGGCTGGGTGGGAGGACTCCCCGTCTGCGCCGACGCCGTGCTGCTCGACTGGAAGCTCACAGACATCCCCGAGTCTAGCGAACCTACGCTGCCGCGCCTCTGCGGCCGCGCCTCGCTGACGTCGAGTAGAGAGTTGGAGAGGGCGGCCCGCTTCAGTCCAACGCCGCCGCTGCTGGCGGACTTTGCCGAGCCGTCTGAGCCGTCCTCGACGTCAGCTACGCCCGAGTCCCGGTTATCGGTCGGCCGGCTGGAACAGACGGGCACGGGCGCGGTCAGATGACAGGTATACATAGTTAGTGGCAAGGCAGAAAGATTGACAGCGACTACAAGAGGGGAGATGAGACCAGAGTCCGTTGGCAATGTCTCCTATCCTGGCTGTCCTACCAGGGGTGCAGACGCCAGTCGATGGTGGCCACACTGTTACCGAACACCGTTTAGTTGTACAGGGTGTCCCAGAATTACCCGGACATTTATTTTCTGGCTAAAAGTACGATTGCGCTCGATTCTAATGATATACAAGCATCATACTTTTATAAGATATCCCTTAGCTATCGAGCTTGGGGACTGTGTGCTTTTGGTGACCGGTAACGACTCGAGTCAAGTATTATCCAGAGTCAAGTAAGGGTAGTCCTTTTCCGTTTTCAGCTTAAGCCACTAATAGGCAACCATGGTGAATCAACTCCCGTTTTAAACTTTGTAAATGGACTTTCGGCATGGTTTTTGCTGGAGAGCTTCAGCAGCTCATCTGCAGGCAGTTAGGATTGAGCAAAGCGCAATTATATCAGTTAACGAAGCCAGAGAGAGCAAGAGATAAACCTGATTGACAAGCTTGGGCTCGGCCAAAAATGGCCATGCACCAGTTGTCAAACGGGTGGTTGCTTGTCATGGACAACAGACGTCACTGATCTAGCTAAAAACTAGCTAAACGATAGATCAGGATTATCTAAAGAACATCAGTTTACTTTCCACCACAATCTTCGCAAAATTTTGGAATTTGGGGTCCCTCGCCTGAAAAATATGCGAGAACTACGGGAAAAGCAGCGAAAATCACTACAATTCATCCCAAAAATATAACATATACAACAAAAAATTGTATTGAAGCACACTTTGTGGTCTAACGAAGGTATTCTGTCATTTGAACCGCCCGAAAAAGGCGTGTGTGAAAGTCAGATGTCTACAACGCCCCAACAGCAGAGATGGCCAGGCACCCGTCGAAAATCAAATTGTGAGACATTTTGAGCCACCGTGCACTCATTCGGCTTGATATGATGGCCCAACGACAGCCGTTAGCACAGAGTACTACTGCGGTAATATTCTACCAGTAAAAAAAACTGGATGCCGTAAACCAAATGGCCATGAACGGGTTTGTTTTGGAAACCAAATCTGTTGGAAGCCAAATGTCCCGCCATGTTCAGGCATGGAGCTTCTCCACTTCAGATGTAAAAAACGCGGCAAAAGTGGTGTAGGCAGCAATTTTTGTTTTGGGTGATAATGCCTTATGACCTGGGAACACTTTGATGTTAAGTTTATCTTGTATGATCGTATTATCCTCCGGCAACAGGTCAAAGAAAACAGGCCTTCACCCAGTTTCGGGAGAGCCGTAAAACAACTGAGACCAGCAATGGCTGGCGTTTTCAATCATTGCCGGCTGATCTTGTAACAAGCGTATCTATTGCATGTGCTATTTCACAGCCACCCTAGTTGACTATATAGGACGATAAAAAGAAAAAAGCGCAATCATGTTTGCCTTATTTTATACGCTAATTAACAATGTCCGGGTAATTCTGGGACACCCTGTAGATGACTGACAACCTTCACAATAAGGGGGCAAGAGAAGCAGTAGCTGTAATAGACGATCGCTGCCCATCCATTATCACCTTTAGCCAACCGTCAGTATGTATGGTAGAACAATCCCAGCTCCTTCGATCGTATTAAAATGAGGAGCCATCCCCGCTGTGCGAGGCAGGACGTGCCACTGCCACCGCGGGTGCGCGGTCCGCAGAGCAGCTCTAACGGAAAACCATGACATCAGCCGCCCTCGGCCGGTAAAAACAATACCCCGATAGCGGAGATCTGATCACAGGCCAGCGCACGGCGGCGCAATCACAATTACAGACCATGGGTAGACCGTATCACGATTTTGCAGGGAGTTTTACACGGCCTTGAAACACACGGAGCGTTACCTAGCGGCTGCAGACAATCGTTTGATGTGAAACGTAGAGCTGGACAACCCATTGTTGATACCTAACCATTGTATCATTGTTTGCGTAAATTTGGTTGCAATGTGGTTGACATATCAATTCAAGGGGATTTTTTTAGAACGAAATCTGACATGAGGGTAGATTTGGCAAGGAAATCACTTGCAAACAGCAAATAAAATACTAACAAAAGCAAAATACACAACTACAACAGCCCACAATTATATGAAATAGACCCAGCATGACAATGACCTCTACCTCAAACAAAGCCACTGCCTAACCACACCACCAAAAGAACAAAGACCACATGGCCGCCATTTAGTCAAGGCCGGCCAGCCAAGCTCGCTCGCAATCCATCCATCTGCGAGCGGGCAGAGTTCCCAGCCGCCTGAGAACATCTCACAGTCGCCGCGTTCCGCTGCTAATGACACATCGTTTACCGGCGCGCCGAGTGTTTTGGTAGAGCTCAGAGTGACTGCACCGCATCGCTGCCGGTTTATAGTTCCGTGAATTCAGAGACGGCCGCACACCAGACATGCCAAAGTCGCATTAACATGGCAGTCTCCGGCGCTCGCGGTGATTCCGATCCCGCGGGCTTCTACCCAGAATTGGGTCAGCACGAGACACCTCCGACCACACGCACGCACGGTGTCACGAATCTCAGTGGTCTTGGAGATACGTCTCCCGCCCGAGGCATCAGCGTGACCTTCCACAGCGTGGCATGTGACCCACCTTTTACAAGTCGCGTGTGTAGTCTGCAAAATACCACCCACGCCCCACTTTCCCGTCTGACTTCCAACCAGTCCATCTCACAATCTATAGCCCACCTTTCGGTTCCCAGGATTCAGGCCCTTTATTTGTATGTTTAGCGAAACCTTTGTCTCAGTCATGTCTCATGTTAGCTTATCAGCTTTTTCACCTCAACCACCTCGTCTCACCTCAACTATCTTTCTCTCCTTTTTGTCTTTCCGTTCCATGTCCCATATCTGTCAATGCCTCCCCTACTCTTTCCATGTCTCCCTCACCCCTTCAATATCTCTCCTATCCTCTACACACCTCCCCTACCCCTCCAAACCCCCTCGTTTCTCACCCTGCGCGTGTAGCGGCGGCGGCCGCCTTCTGCCGCTCCAGACCGGCGTCGATCCGCAGTGCCTCCATCTCGTCCATTTCCAGGATACTCTCGCGCAGGTCCTCGCAGAATTTGGTCCGGTCGTGCTCGTTGCGTGCGTTGAAGGTGAGCAGCACCTTTCCGTCCACACGCTGAGACAGCCGGATCCCGAATGGGTAGTCTGAAACGGAGCGGGACGAAAGTGTCAGCTGGAGAACGCCGTGGAAGAATCTAGGCGGTGAGGTGGCATGGACGGGAAAGACGGTAGTATATAATTAACAAGTGATGCCATTGTGATATCTTTGTTCAAGTGCGATGGCTGGGATGTCGCTTTTTTGGGAGGCATGCCAATCAAGACGGGCTGTTCGAGAGATGGCCCATCCAGAAAGGCTGGCAGCCACATAAAAAACATCTACGACACATGACAAGGAATAAAGACTAAAATGGAGACTCCGCGTGAGTTAGAGCATCCATTGAAAGCCATCCACATCCATCCGCATCCACATCCACAAGCCACCATATCATAGTGAGTCCACTCACGTGGAAGGTCGAACGCCGACACGGACAGTCCGGCCAGCGGGATGCTCTGCCGACACGAGTAGGTCATGGCGTTCTTCTTCTTGCTGAAGATCTTAGTGACGAGCATGAGGTCGTTGAAGAGGAACACCTCTCGCTGGTGGACGCCGGGCCGGTCGCGTTTGGAGACGTCGGGCACCTCGTACAGGCGGCAGTAGCAGACCAGGCGACGGTGCGGCAGCGCCAGCGGCTGCTGCGCGGCGTAAGGGAAGGGAGGGGGAGGGAGGTCAAACTCAGAGCAGTCGGACGGCAGTAGCAGACCAGGCGGCGGTGCGGCAGTGCCAGCGGCTGCTGCTCCGCGTGAGACGGGCGGGGGGAGGGAGGTCAGACTCAGAGCAGTCAGACAGATGAACATTGAACACGCCAGTCAGATGGACGACCAGTATTGTCCGCACAATCTTTCAGTATTTTGACTATTCAAGAATATGAATTTCTTGACTGATGAAAGAAAGTCCAATTGACCATAACAAAATAAGATATTAGAAGAGCTCTTTCGCTAATTCAAACCCAACGAAACCTCATGATAGATCACAATCCAGATGGCAATGGCGAAGAACGACACTAAACCATGTACATCCAGTATCCCCACCCCAGCACCTATCTCTTATCCCCTTCCAAGCGTACCGGTTTCTTTCCGATGGTGGTCTGCTCCACTTTCAGCACGGGCGTGACGTGGTCTGCACCGGCGCGGAACTCCTGGGCGCGCACCCGCTCGTAGATTCCGGCCAGGATGTGTGGGTCCACGTCGGCTCCGTCGTCAATGTCTGGGGAGGCGAGGGAGGCGTGAGAAGGGGTTTGTACGAGAGCTGTACAAGACAGGGTTTTGTTTATTCAACGATCACCAACACGTTTGCAACAAATGAATGTCAGTCGAAGTCACTTCAGTAAAATAACCAGAAAAAAAAACACAGACAACAGAAGGATGAGTGAAATGGATAACTGACGAGGCCGGTGGAGGCTAGACAACTGATGGACGGAGGCAGACGTAAAACGCAGCACCGACACGGGCCGCGATGGAGCCGCGAAGTGACTGACTGACAGCGGACACGACAGTAGATGAACATAACACACGGACTGCCGCCGCGGCTGCCGTTTGCCGGGACAGACCGCGGCAGGTGCTGGTAGTACAGCAGGCCGACGGGTACATACACTCACAGACATGCAGGGGGTAGCGGAGGTAGGCTGGTCGGTGCCAGTGCTGGGCACTGTTCGGAACACAGGAGAGAGAGAGAGAGAGAGAGAGAGAGAGAGAGAGAGAGAGAGAGAGAGAGAGAGAGAGAGAGAGAGAGAGAGAGAGAGAGAGAGAGAGAGAGAGAGAGAGAGAGAGAGAGAGAGAGAGCGAGAGAGAGAGACAGACAGAGAGAGACAGACAGAGAGAGACAGAGACAGAGACAGAGACAGAGACAGAGACAGAGACAGAGAGAGAGAGAGAGAGAGAGAGAGAGAGAGAGAGAGAGAGAGAGAGAGAGAGAGAGAGAGAGAGAGAGAGAGAGAGAGAGAGAGAGAGAGAGAGAGAGAGAGAGAGAGAGAGAGAGAGGAGAGAGAGAGAGAGAGAGAGAGAGAGAGGAGAGAGAGAGAGAGAGAGAGAGGAGAGAGAGAGAGAGAGAGAGAGAGAGACGATTTGGGGTGAGATCAGGGTGAGATCAGGTTTAGCGGGGCCTCCCAGCTTATCGACAAAAGACGCAGCAGATCAACAGTTAGGTGACCCGGGCGCCGTGTTCGTTCATAAACTAGTCATGATAATCACTGACCAGTCATGGACAATATGTCAGTGAACATGTGGAACCGGAAAATAAACAGATGAACTGACAATAATAAATCGTAGTATCAGATGGTCATTCATCCCGCCTATCATGATAGTCACATAAATAAAACTACGCCGGCTTGACCAGTAAGGTTCCTTCACCTCAGCTTCCAGAAAACAAGTTTGTAAGGTGTATGCTCAGGAATAGCCATGTTCTTCAAGACTACAAGGCGGAACACAAGCTACAGTGCTATTTTCAGGAATGACAGCAGTGTTCAATGTTGAGAAACAAGATGTACTTCCTAGTGTGGATACAAGCGTACAAAGGCTGTCATCTGCCTGAAACAAGTGGCGACAAATAGGTATTGACAGTTCTGAGGACTGTCAGTCACAGACCACCAGTCACCAGTCTCAGTCGACGACTGACACTCATCTGTCTTCGACATCCTTTCCCGGTAAATCTGTCCGTCGCATGGATCAGCCAACCGCACGAATCCAACATTTCCAAGAACGCACCTGAGTCAAATCATCAGACCATCCAACCTTGTCCCGAGCATGGCAACCCGACTGCATGGAGCGAATCGGACGTTGGCGCCAGCGAACTCCGCATAACAAACACCCTACACTGTAACTGACTGACAGTAGGCCTGATAATGAGACCTCCAAGACCGCGAACGGGACGAGAGCCTGGCCATACACAAGTCACATCCTCGTGAGATAGATGGCACGATAGACTCACGGGAACGTCACGATAGCCTACGACGACGACAAGATACGCGTGATGGCGTCAGAGTCAGGACACCTCTTTTCCACCGACCGGCACTCATTACTCCCTGTAAAACCCACCCATCTGTGCCCGCCCAGAGGACAGGTCGGGACGGATTCACAGGAAACTCAGCTCTGTCCGCGAGCGGCGACCGGGCCGTGCCAGTGTGCAATGTGGTCGCGTGTCACCGACTGGATAATGGCAGGAAAACGGAGACGCACGCACTGCCAGCGTGCGTCAGGTGTTCTGGTGCGGGATTTTGGGGGTTGGTTGGTAGTCCAATATAGTGCAGTACACGAAAACTTTATCTTTAAATTGGTATGTGCGTTCTGTGTGGACACTACAATCCCGAGTGCCGCATGTTTCTATCCACTTTTGGTGCTGTCATATGTGGAAGCACTGAGTCTGAAAATAGTTCCAACACGCAGTTGAACTTACAGTCCTGCGTCTAATTAACAACGGAAGGCTTTGCTGGCCGCAGTTTGAGCTCTAGACACTGACTCAGGATGGAAAAACGGTACACACGACAGTCCAGCTCAGTATTCGTGCTTTTCGCGGGTCACAACTTTGACACACTCCCCATCTCAGTCAGATATCAAATGTACACTGCTTTCAATCTCAGTCCGTCTCAGCAGAGGATTGGAGAATGTCCGAACCGATCCAGCCGGCAACCGAGCTCTGTTCGCATACCTTTGTCCATAGACCTCTGTTTACAGAGGTCTACAGGGTGTCTCAAAAGTTCGTTGACATATTTCCCATGCCCATAAAGCATATAAGAACCGGCCAAAAATATAAGGTTTTGGTGTCTTTGTGCACACTAGACAAATATGCATGCTTTGACAACTGATTCGGAAGGTTGGAAATAAAACTATTTGCTGTATCTCCAAAAATATTTGTCCATACCGATTTTCGTCGCTCCGTCAGCTGCCGGAGGCTGATAAAAGGTTACCTGCTTTCAAGCTCTTGTAGGGGAATCCCCTTCAGTTTCTGCGTCGGATTTAGGTTTGGCGAGCTCCCCGGCAACATCCGCTTCTCCCTGAAAGCCGACAGCTTGCATCGACACCATCCGTGAGTATTTTGTAGGTCTTCTCTGGCGCTAACTTCTTCATGAATGACTGGCGCCGACCTCCCAAGCACCATTTTCCTTTTCAAAACAACCCCATTCCTGAACAAATGGGAAGTGCCAGGGGCGAATTTTTTCGCAGCATATCGTAGAAGAATGTGACGGCCATCTGTTTCTTAGACACGTTGTGCAAATTTTGCAAATCCCAAACGCTCATCATTCCCCATGACAAGACCTTCGCTGGGTTGCGGAGTGTTTTCCTCAGGAGAGCTTCTGCTTTGTAAACGGCCAAAACCTGTCCATCGTACGGTTTTGTCGGAATTTTGTGTCTAAAAGAAAGCTATTCGCTCCAGATCTGCCTCTTGAAACTTCGTAGGATAAAAATTTACATTAATTGACACTTTTGGAGGGTCAGTTGTCCTTGGTATTGACGATTTTCGTGTTATTTTCCCCCAAAATTTAGCGTTATAGATATTACAAACTTGTTCAAATGATACTTTGTCTTCATTTTACGATGAACTGCAATTTTTGAAACTGGTTAACCTCTGTCTGTGAGCTTCTTGTCAGTTTTCAATAGTTATGACTTCATTTTCAGCTGCTTTCCGGAGCACGAGTCTGCTGCCGTACGAGGGTCGTTCAAAACGCTGTTATAATAGTCTCGCATGGTTTTGTCCTTCAAAAATTTTAGCCACCGTTTTTATTAGATGATCATCATCGTGACTCATCCTCGCCGACAGTTTGCCATGGGTCATTTCCGACTTAATCATTCCCATTACTTCTGAAATAGAGAGTTTCTCAGCCGACCCGATTTTGCGACCTCCATTTTTATGCCTGACCCATGGTCAGAGATGAACCCTTTTTGTGAGCTCATGAAGGGTCGAATGCGCTTGAAAACAATGAGACTACTTGAGGAACGTTGTTACGAATGCCCATGCAAAATTTCGACCGTTAACCCTCGCCCCGTTGGGGGGGGGGGCCATTTTGGCCCCCCCCTGTGGTTTTTCCTGAATAGTAAGAAAACGGCGGTGCGCAGCGCCGCCAAATTTTCAGTACCTTCCCGGGCATCAATTTGACACCTTCACACCAAATTTCAAGTCTTAGGTCACCTTAGGTCAGGAGTTATTGAGGTCAAACTGAGGTCATGTTCGAGCAAAAATGAGCAAAAAACATGCAATCTTGAAACGCTCACTAAATCTACAGTTATCAAGCAATTTCAAAGTTCTTTATATGGTCTAGTAGACAAAAAGCGGCGCTACAAAACTGCTATCTCGGATTTTCAAAATGTTTGGTTTTTGACCAAAAAAAAATCAAAAAATTGATTTTTTAGAAAAACTTTAAAATTCCTAAATTTTTCCGAATTTCGAAAAAACCGGAATATATGTGATAGTCCCAGCGCTCTTCTATATACATACCAAGTTTCAGATCGATATCTCGTTTTTTGGCCAAGTTATAGCGAAAAAACTGTTCAAAAATGATGACGTCAAATTTCTAAACTCAATTTTTAGCGATTCTAGACCACGTACGGCAAAACAAAGACCACCATTGAACTCCCCGTGACGAGCTGCATCGATTCGATACCCATTTTATGCAAAAATATTAAATTTGAAATTTGACCTAATTTGACCTGACCTTGACCTGACCTTGACCTGACCTTGACCTGACCTTGACCAAAACGTGATCTAAGCTGGCCCCAAAGGCTGCCTGACCCACATAATCGCATTTGTCATGTAAAATGGACCATAAAACATGTATCACAAGACACTTTCATATTGTGACCCCCCCCGTGACCTGACCTCTGTGACCTGACCTAGTATCAGTGACCTCAAATAGCAAAATATGTGTTTGAAGAACATTTCCCCATCGATGACTTTCAATGAAATGCATTTTACTCGATTTTACAACGCATTTCTTGAAATGCCTGTAAACGGTGAAAATTGGACCTTTGACCTGACCTGTGACGTCATCGGTTTGACCTAGGTCAATAAAATTGGGTCACAAGGTAGTTCCCCGTTGGGGCTATCCAACGCCGTTTACCGCTTGTCGCTATGTTGCGTGGTTCTCGAGATCTTAGGGGGGGGGGGGCAAAATGCCCCCCCCCCCAACCGGGCGCGTTGCTCGGCAGAGCCCAACGGGGGGCGGGTTAATTAATTGCTCATTCAGAATTATTGACAAAAAAGTATGGCTGGTACCTGTCAACGAAATTTTGAGACACCCTATATGCTTTGTCCTTTTTAAAGGATAGATAAATCACAACAGCAGTCTCGACAGACAACCTGAGCCCGTACGAACTTTGATCTCAGAGCCAGAATTCACTACAATTACCTACTACCGTCCGGGCCACCGACAACCCACTCCAGTATGACCCATTAGGAACGCTCGGCCGTGTAAGAGACGTGACGCAACAAAGGACCGTCCCCACAGGTCGCCTGAGGTCAACAGGGGGTCAGTGGGGGTCGACATAGGTCAGCCGGGGTCAACAGATGAAACGCACCGGCGGATTCCGTCATAAGGCCGGGATTGTCTGACCCATTCGACTGACGAACCGCAACTAGCTAAAATGACGGTCGCTAATGAGTGCCTCAGAATGAGCTCAACAGCAGACTCTCATGCCACTTAGGATTCGTCCTTACGACCCGAAAAGTGGTAGTGTATCAGAGAAAAGCGTTAGTCACCTATGCCAGCAATTGACGATGAGGGTACTGCTCGCATATGTGCATTAAATTATTTATTATGCTAACAGGCATCCTGACCACTCAACGAGAAGAGTTTAATGAACACTACCCAGAAGGGGTGTGCCACAAAAGTCAGGTATTCGTCGTAAACGTACAGGAAAGCCGAGGAAAGAACAGGAAACAATCAAAAGGAAAACAACTAACATCGAGTCGTGAACAAAACAGCACCGGCTCATGCATACATACACGTCACACCATTGAAACAAACACACTATTTCCCTAACCCAGTAAACTGGCCCACGCCACAGCCAGTTTCCTCAGACAGGATTCACGACCATCAGAGCCCTTCCGCCAACCCCTGAACACTGTACTCACTGCGCAGGTTTTTGATGAAGTCCTCCAGCTTCATCTTCCGCTCCGGTTTGATGTTCGGGGTGAAGAGGTCCGTGTTGAGCATGATGATGGCGAAGGCCAAGACGAAGACGGTGTCGGGCGTCTTCAGACTGGACACGAACTCATGGTTACACTGCGTGTACCGCTGGCCAAACACCTGAGGAAGACGGGACACGGGACGTCAGAGGCAAAACCAAGCAATAACGTCAGTTGCAGGAGCGTGGTTGGGATGAAAAGCGAGACGTCAGAGGCAATCACAGTACCAACTCAGCATCAGTTGCAGGACGTCACGTCAGGTTGTGATGCTTATAGTACGGGAAACGGGATACCAGTTGACGTCCAGCATTCAATGTCAGTATATCTCCGTCATGACACGCCATGTAAGGGCATGTGACATAGAACACGGGCAAGTGACATCAGTGGTCGACACGGGGCACTCACGTCATTCACAGCATCACTACGTCATATCATGATGCGTGTGGTAACGTCCCATGAGGCACATGCCGTCACGATCTTGTCAGTGTCGCGATTCTTTTTTGATACCGAATCGTGTGCGTCGGCAAGAAAACGAAGCAAAAAATCGCATAACGTTTACATAACAACTCAGTAGTATTTCGTCCTGCAACATCACAGCCCATATTCGGAGATTCCCGTTCACACAGGATTGCGGCTAAGTCCATGAAAAGTACCGTGCGTACTTTTCCCGACGAGTTACGTAACCCTACTCAGATCAGCGATAGGTATAGTAACAAGGCACCATTACAGCTCTGTTCCGGCGCGCTGCGGTGCAGTGCGCGATCAGCGAGAGTGCTGTAGCCGGTGCTGCGGTCAGCAGTACTGGGTCACCGGTGCACCATTGGCCGGTCAGTATCCGGGACAGGTCCCCAATGTTCTCCGGTCAGCGAGAGACCGGGTGGGTCGGACCTGGAGCTGGCCTGACCAGAGAAACCCGCTGGACGCCATGACAAACACTAGACCCAACGGCCAGCTTTTGTTTGTTTATTGGGGCGTCACGGCGCACCAACTCCAATGGGCAGTTTGCAATCAGCGATTCAATCCACCCAGTAGCGCAACTGAGGCCCACAACCAGCCTCTGTATACAGTGAGCCTTCTGCACTGTCGTCATCCAGTTCCCTGTGACGCCCCAGTTCGCCGTGCATCCTTGCTCGGCATACCTGCCGCCGTCCAGGGCCCGGCCGATGCGCCGGTAGGCCAGATCAGCTGACCGATCGGTCGGCGAAAGTGGTCTGTGTGTGTATGGAGACTGGTCACGCTACCCGCCGGCACTGGTCGACACTGACCGGTCCTCTGTGAGCTGCGGGCCATGCCGCGCTGATCGGTATCTCACGACCATACTGGGCCGGTATGTGCGCCGAGCAGCGCCGGTGACCAGCCGACCGGAGCCCGGTAAGGCCCGGCTGGGGTGGGTCCTAGAAAAACGGACACAAGCATGTCCCATCCCGTGCGTGTGTCTGAAGCAACAAGCCGGCGCGGAACCCTGAATCCTCCCCGCTTGAGCTGAAAGCGGCACATCCGTTGCATCTCCTCTCATCACAGCTCATGAGCTCACGAGTTCACGAGTCAAGGCCTCGGTGCGCGTCTCATTAGTCGTGAACACTCATTATCCTTGGACACCGCACGATGTCGGCGGTACGGAGCGCCCTCCGTGGAACTCCTGGCCGCTCGTAACCAGCTCACTCGGCAGGAAGAGATTAGCACGGATATGATCGGCCGGACGGCACCGGGTACCCTTGACCTGCAGATTGGGCTCACGCTGGTCCCGCCACCAGCGTACCGACACTTCAGCGGCTGTGGGAGCATGGCATTTGCGCTGATGACATGAGACTCTTTATAGGATTCACCGCTGTTCGCAGCGGTAACCGTTTGAGCCCAGCCGCAGGATCTGTCGACCGACCTCCAGCGAACGAGCCAAAGCGTCAGTGTCAAACTGCCGCTCACCTAAGTGTGGGAACGCAGCGATCACAGGCTTCAACTCATGATAGTTATCAGAACAAAAGCGAAGCGAAAAATGTAGATATCCTCTCTGTGAATCTCCCAGTCTACCAGTCACCAGAGGCTGTGGTCGTTAATTCCGACCAAGCACAGCCGATAAAGGCGTCGCTGTTTGGACAGCCGTTCCCGGCCGTGCGTACGGTGCAGGATCAGGAAGGAAGCGGGTCTATCTATCAAACAAACCCGCACTGACAGCTCCACACAAACACTGACGGTCTCCGTAATAAGGAAACCTCGCGCTGGCGGCGGTCCGGGCGACCGTGGCTCACTAACTCTCATTAGTAACCGGTGGAACAAGTCGGCCACGACCGAACCTCCTCGCTCTACTCAATCAGACCCAGTTTTTGTGTGTAAACAAACCAGGTGACCACGACACGCATCTGACATAGACGTGGTTCACAGAGGTCCGGCTACACAAAATGGTGAGCCATGGGTGTATATAGTGAACATCTGTGTAGCAAATAGCTCGCTTGGTGATTGAAATGTCATGTTTGAGAAGCAGCTTGCCTTTGAGCGACTCTAACTAAGCTTTCTATAGGGCTGAAGGGCTAGAAAGCCATCCGCGGTCCCCGTAGTAAAACGACTCAATCGACTCACGTTCTGACACAAACCACAATTTCCTCTTGGAATTTAACGCGCGCGAATCCCTTGTCAAACACCTAAACGTGTTGAAAGCTAGCGGCGGCGACCACCGCAGTCAAAGTTAGTGTGCCCGGTAGGCCAGCCTGGGGTTACTTTCCGCCGAAGCCTGAACGGCTCGGTACCGGGCTGTGCCCCGGGTAAAAACCGGCCTCACGCCCCCTTTCGCCGCCGCCGCGGGTGGGCAGACAGCAGGGTTCCCAGCACCTTTACGGCAGGAGTACTCTATGGAGAGTTGCTTTGGTGCCGGTGACTGAGGAGATTCCTCACACCACTGGGAGTGGTGCTGGTGACGCTCACCACTGCACGGCTGGGAGTGGGTGGTGACAGGGTTCTGCATCGGCGCCGCTGCAGACACGCATGCGGAGGCGTTTATCTTCGCGCGGGTGACTGCAGCGCACTGACAGGTCTTCATTAACACCACGGATGAGCGGGAGGCTCCCAGGCTCCGTGGCACAACTCCTTTGATTTTAACGTTACCGAGGAATATCACATTCAACTGTATGAAGACAAATACCCCCTGGGTGATGAATAACTCGCTCTTTGCCGTCACATGTCACAACGCATTTAACATAAGCTAGAATGTCTGAAATAGTCCGTTTTATCCCGACTGGCCCGCTGACCACCACTTATTCTGCTTCTATCATACATATTATCGACCATGCACTTATCAAAGAGCGGATGGGTCAGGCCAATGTCGACACTCATGGTGTTCTCAGGTTTCTCCCCGTGATCGGTCGGTACACAGCGCTGTTCGATCCCACCCCTACCATCGGACACCTGTCCAATTACGATGGAGGCACAGTTGACATGAGGTCATATGCGCATTATGGACACTAGCGTGATGGTCGACTAAACTGATTGCGACACGGCTGGCTGCACCTCACCGGGTTATATTTATCACATAGCACGCACAATGATATCCACTTTCAGGACAAACCACAGAGATAGAGGAAGGATCTTTATGCGAAGAGCACTCGGGATAACTACCTAATGGGCCAGCGAGGACGGGGTCCCACTGGCGTCGGTGTCAGATGCCACTAGAGTCAAAAGAAACCGATTGCTGCGACCATCAGCGTGGGTACAGCGGAAGAATCAACTTATCTCAGGAGCAGCAGTGTAACACATTTCCACCTATCAATTCAAAAGTACGCCTATCGAAGGAAGCAAAACTCTATCCTACCAAAAACAGAATCCTACCATCGCGACAGCAGTCGCAGTGACCGTAAGCCGGCTGGCTGACCGTCACCGATCATCGACAAGACCGGCTGCACCCGGCGGCCTTGATCGCGCCGAAGGCTGCGTGCCACTCCCCAATTGACCGGACCACCAGGCACTGGCCTAACGGGGTGCGAGCGGCCGCCTTCTGCCGGCGAGCAGTCGTTAAGACAGATGGACCAGCGACGACCATTTGTGTCGGTATTGGTGTGAATGGGAGTGACGAGGTAAGTACATATCAGCGCAGTTGGCGTTTGACTCTGTCAAGGTGAACTCTCGCCGACGGCGGAGGAGAATCGTCTGCACATCTTCCGTCCTTGGCTCCAGCTACAGTGCCGGCTGACGGGGAGCCAGTGGAGCGCAGCAGCATCCGAGATCATCCGCCCATTAATCCTCGCAATGTCACGTGCAGCCTATGTAATTCGGATCAAATTGAGCAAGAGTCCCACCGTTACATAAATTGAGTCCCACCGTTACATAAATCGGCGTGGTTGGATGATTCAGCAAGATTACAGGTGGCTTAAGCTACGGAGGAAGGGTGCCTTCACATCTATTCAAATATGAGAAAAATGCATTCTAAGATTGGATGTTCACAACCACGCGCCACTATGGGTAGCTTGGAGATAATGACACCATTTAGCACATTGAAGTGGCGTTATTGGAAAACCACGGGGAAGCCATGACCAAGATTTCTAAATATCATCTCGGCACCATCCCGTCGAAGCCGCAAGTCACACCACGGTCACAGACTCGCTCTTCAGTCGAACGTCAGCCCTAACAAATTGAAATGACTACCCCTTCCTGCTTCCTTCGGTGACTGTCTTCTGCCAAACCGGCCCCCCTTCCCCAACGCGACCCCTGTGGCGTCTCCAACTGACCTCCATGAGTCGTTCGATCTTCTGCGCCTCCCCTGGAAGGCGGAAGTAGGCCTGGAACTTGCGCAGTGCCGCGTCCAGCTGCATGTTGTAAAAGTCCAGCTCCTGGGCGAACGCTCTGAAACAGAAAACGTACAGGGTTAGCGGATGAAAGATATACAGTAGAAAGTCAAATACACAGTAGGAAGTCACGGTAGAAAATATACAGTAGAAAGTCAATCAACCCTTCAAAAGGAACAGTAGCTGCTATATAAGCGCACTCCGATCATGGACACATTGCAACGATGCACAAAATAGCCTGAAATAGCAAAAGTTCATTCTCCAATAGGTAGCGTCAACGTCAAAAGTAGAAACCCAAACTTCCCAGGGAGCCTACCGCGTTACGGAGGCCCAAACGTGACGCCGTCACGGCCACCATAACAGCTGTGTCACAAACATACACCACCGGACCCCGGCCCGACCTTCACAGAGACCGCCGGAGTCACGCGTCGCTGCGCGGCTCCAAACATAACATTTACCGGCGGGCTGAGACCTTTCATATGCACACACATCAGCCGTCAGCCGATCGCAGACTTCCGTCCGTCGCATTCACTCTGTCCAGTGACGGTTACAGATCCCACGGACATGGCGGCTGGAGCGCAGAGACTTTCACTGCTGCTGAGAGCGGCACAGCACGCACGGCCCACCGAGACAGCTATAATCAGCCCATTGAGACGACAACGGACGCTGTCAATCACCGACAAACTGGCCTAACGAGACGCGGATTGTCTGGATAAGAAGGGACGCACCACAGATGACTGTATCTTGTGCTGTCAATGCTGGTTAGTGGGTGGGTTTCGGGATCAACTTTGAACAAGCTAGCCTCAGCGGTGCCCCTTTTCGCCGCGAGCGGCCACGATGCGTAGTTCGCCGGTGACCTAGCTGACCTTCGGTGACCCTGGTGACCCCCAGGTCACCGCGCCACCAGGCCACACGGATAGCGCCGCCATTCATGAATACGACGATGAACGTTATGCAAACATAACGAGGCCGGCGTTACAAAAGCGTCGGCTGATCGGCACTGCCCGAGCGGCGTGACGACTCCATTTATCAGCGGCCTGTCAGTGCGGGCGAGAGATCCGGCCTGCTCACACAATCCGACCGGGACACGGTGCTCGGAGGTCGGGAGATCCAGCGCTCTCAGACTGGAAGCATATAGGCTCAGCCAGAGCACAGCTCAATTCAACTGGGATGCAGCCCTGTTCGGCCAGGACCCAGCTAACTATAGCTCAGACCCAGCAAACTCTACCCAAGGGACTTCGACATAACTTCGACTGGAACCTGGCCAGCATCGAAGGTACCCAGTCGATTCAGTGGATCCAGCCCATTCCAACTGAATGATCACGCCAGCAGACGCCCAATCAGCTTGGACTCCGGTCCATTTCCAGGGTCCGAGCTGCGAGTCACAATCACATAGTGTCCGGACCGAGTCTGGTCCGCGTACCTACGTCACTTAGCCTTCCCTGCACACCGCATTCCCTTCACCGCGCTCCACACGCAGCCAGCTCCGTTTCAGGCCGAAACGCCGACTTAATTCAAGGCTAACACCCTAGCACGGACAAAAGACCGACCACCGCCGTCACAGCATGAAGAAAGGTGTTTTTCGTCGCCGTGCACGCTCTAAAGGGCTGCTCCGTCTTAAATCACGCATCTACGCCTTCCCAGCTCCGCCATCGGCGCAGGCGTTGTGGCATCTAACTTTGGCTGAAAACGACAGTGACACAAAGCGTTACGGGAGCGACGTCCGCTCTGCTAACAGCTCTGGAGACAAAGCGGGACGTTTTTCTGCACCATCGCGCGGTGACGCCTTTCCGGTGCCGCTCAGAGGTGTCCCAGCCGCCGTCTGCTCTGCCGATGCCTCCATGGAGCCCACACCACGATATAATGACACTACTACCATTCAATCGTGTCTCACGTTGCAGACGCCGCAAGGAACTCTTTGCAATGATGGATCAAGACGATCGCAGACTCTCAGTCACGACACTCAGCGGAGACGTCTGACCTTAGCCGGTCGAGCGTCTCCGCCACCAGCGTCCTCTGTGGCACCAGCGTCCCGAGCGGCAGTCTCCTTCAAATCTCGCCAGTCTCCTTCACACCGGTCGGTCGGACATGTAAAAAAACGTCAGCGGACAGCCGGCTACCGCGCGGGGCCGGTGGCATTGGAGGGTCTGCGGCAGCCGGTAGGGAAGGTGCAGCTGACCGATGGCCATGGAGACAGACGGTTGACCTCCGACAGACAGAAGCAGCCAGGGATGACGAGGAAAGATCGCGAGGTTCAGACTCCCATGGCCATCTCTGGCGCCAGTAGAGGTAACATTGATGACGGCACGCAGACACGAGCCATGTTTTTCCTTTCCAGAATCATAACACTACATCAGGGTGAAGAGGATAAAGATGATACGTAAGATACACGTCACTGCGTTTTCTTGTCCACTGAAGTAATATCCATGCAGTCTTTCCTCTCATGCAGATTGCAGAGCCATCATCCTGCCAAAAGCATTCACAAAGCAAACAACAGATGGAACTCCAGACATGGCTCAGGGTAAACCAGCCAGCCACCACTCTTACCAGCTCCACCGAACCCAGCGCCGGTGATCCTCGCCACTATATATGCAAATCATCAATGGGAGATAACACGGAACTTTGGCCGCCAGGTGTCACTGTAGGCGTTCCTGCTGATTCAATTTGCGCCGGTGCCGTTCGGAGCAGTGTCGTGCGGTGAAAGTGGGTGAAATATTGAGGAAGTAGTGGGTCACATGTGTCATAATACCTAAATTTGGAAGAAAATGGCCCAGTGTAGTGTCTATGGCTGCTCGGAGAATGGTGAGTTTGTATTTTCTCGCGACAAGAGGCCGAGGAAGATAGATATGGCTCAGGCTGCAACGGATTTCATCCCACCAAACACTTGATTGTGTGTCGGAAGCATTTCACCGACGATGATTTTTTGGAAAATACTGCCTACGGTAAGTTTTTATGGTCATGAGCAGCTTTGTATCTGTAGGCGCTGGATAATGCTTTACGGGTGGCTTGAGCTGAGTGATTTTACTCTGATTTATTTCAAACTAAAGTTGATCGGGATGTCGTAATATTTCGGTATTAAAATAAAATATAAACTCAGGCACAAAATAGCACACTTCACACCGGTTCTTATCACCGTCTTTCTCACAGGTTCTTCTTCTTTCACGCACATATTCTCAACCACAACCACCGTCAAAAGCGATTTTTGGTCCGCGGCTACATGAAAGGCTTATCTTATTCTACACCAATTAAACTTAAATATCACTTAACTTCTTCCTTCCTTGCCTTGCGGTTTCGATACTTATTTTCAAAACCTTTGTTCTAAACCTATTTTACTTGTTTAAAATTATTTCTGTCCTACTTTTCTACTTCAGCAAAATTTTATTTGGTGTAGCTCGTGCCCGTCACGAATGACGCCGCCGACATAGAAACGGCATCTACAGTATCTAAGATATACCCTATCATTCGCCACCCGGGGAACTGGGAAGTCACCTACCGGCTACCACCATAAGTATGTAGGTATCAAACGAAAAATGGGTCTGCTTTTCATGGAATATTCATGCCCTAAATGCTACAGAGGTCAACAATCATTTAATCTTAGAATTATACAACTACCTTTATTTGTACAAATTATTGCATGCTTCGTAGACATCTCGCATCAACATCACAGGTGAGGTACGTATACTTCATGATCCATCAAAGTTTAAGGCAAGAAAACACACTTCACAGTGCTATAAACAATGACGTGCATTGTCAAGGGCCAGACAACAGCAGAAGAGGCTGAAGAAGGGGGTTATTCCATCTGTTACTCAGGCCAAAGCACCAGCTTCAACTGCTTCAGCAATTTGTAGGCAGGCTAGGCGCAAGGAAAAGGAACATGGCCAGCTGTTGGACAGCTTGGTCAGTGCAAACAACTAGAGCTTAGATGCTGTCCTTAACCTGCAGATAAGATGAATAGGTTTGTGCCTTGTGGCACTATTTATCTATAGCTGTTTATCGTTATTGACATTTGAGCAATGGGCAGACGCTGTCAGATCCAGACAGGATAGGAGATTCTCTGTTTTGTGATTTGGATGGCAGATGTAAGGGGATCACTTCTCAGTTTGTTTTTTTTGAAAGGTTTTTTATCCCACAACTCACAGACAAGTCACAAAAGTATACTTAACTGGGCAAATTGTATGTTCAATCTAAAGTGTTTTCACCTTTTGGCAGATGGTAATTGCTCAGAACCAACCAGTGGTAATAAAAGATGTGCATAAAGTTTCTGATAATGGTCTATCTCATGCCTTGTCAGGCTGTATTCAGTATGTATGAAGCAGTTAATACAAATTTTATTGTTTTCACAGGTACAAGAATGGGCTCAACAGGCAGAGGAAATGGAGAAGAGTGCACCACCTCCACCAAACGTTGCTGCTTATGAAGAGTGCAACACTGAAGGGGGGTGTGCTGCACCACTGCGGGGCTATCTGATGGTGCTGTCAATATCAGCACCAGGCAGGGTTCAATGTCCAAGATCTGTTAGCCTGTTGTGATGTACGTGTCATAACACCAGCGTTCCTTAAAGTGAAGTCCCAGCTCTCTCCCGCCGAACGCACTCAGTCGCTCGCTATCACGAGGGATCATATCCATGTCGGGCGTATGACTGGTCTGATCAAGACTTACTCGTTTCTTAGGGGGCAAATCGATGCCGGTTACGTACCTGTTCTTTCAGACATATTCCGTTCTGTGTGTCTCGTCTGTAGCCTGCAGAAATCGCTCATGCAGGTGGCGGGGATGTGCGCGCTCTGGGACGTTAGCATTAGCAGACTGAGCTTCACCGTCTCATGTTTATTGTACATGCCTACATTTGTGAATGGTGCATTGGAGGGCTACATGTGTATGCTGGTGCACAGTGCATTGCTTGAAAGCTGTATGTTATTTGGTAATCGGTGATATTGAATGCTTTTGAGTTTTGGAGCTTGCCTTGTCGAAGTGGTTTAGCTAGTAGGTACTCTGCTATGTTTCGATGTCAGTTAAATACACCGCTGTTGACTATCATACACTGCTTCAAAAGCTATGTGT